CTCTTCAACAGATGGTGACGGCAAAAATAGAAAGCAACATGCAAAAGACTGAAACAAGACCTTTATCTCACACCTTATACAAAACCAAACTCGGCATGAATTAAAGACCTAAATATGAATCCCAGAATTAGGAAGGCCATCAATGAAAAATAGGGACAAATGTGAGGGCACTAATTCAAGGAATACACAGACCACTGAACAGTGTGAAAACTACACAAACAAAAGTAGACAAAATAGATGACTGGGACATGTTAAAATTTTAAAACTTATGTGCATCAAAAGACTTCATCAGAAAAGTGAAAAAGGAACCCACAGAATGGGAAAAAGTCTTTACCGACGACACATCGGACAAGGGATTCATTTCTAAAATATATAGGAAACTACAACACCTCTACAAGAAAAAGACAAATAACCCAAATAAAAAATGGGCACAGGACATGAACAGACACTTCACCAATGAGGAGATCCGGGCAACCAACAAACATGGAAGAAATGCTCACAAGCACTAGCCATTAGAGAGACGCAAATCAAAACAACACCAGCAATAATAGCAAAGATCAAAAAGTAGAGGACAATAAATGCTGGCGAGGATGTGGATAGTCTGCGACGCTCCTGCATTGCTGGTGGGATTACAAAATAGTCCAACCACTCTGGAAAGCAATATGGCGCTTCCTCAGAAGGTTGGAAATAGAAATACCTTGTTGTTGTGAAGTGCTGTCGAGTCGACTCTGACCCATAGCGAGACCCTGTACAGGGTTTCTGAGGCTGTAAATCTTTACGGGAGCAGACAGCCTCATCTTTCTCCCACGGAACCGCTGGTAGTTTCGAACTGCCAACCTTGCGGTTCGCAGCCCGATTCATAATCACTATGCTACCAGAGCTATGATCCAGTAATTTCTCTACTTGGTATTTACCCACAAGAAATACGAGCCATAACACGAGTAGATATATGCACACCAATGTTCATAGCAGCACTATTTACAATAGCAAAAGATGTAGACAGCCTAAGTGGCCATCAATTGAAGAACGG